GTCTTTTTTTTTTTTTTTAAACTAATCTTCTTTTTATTTTATTTATTTATTTTGCAGTTTTGGCCGGGACTGGGCTTGAACCCGCCACCTCCGGCATATGGGGCCAGCACCCTACCCCTTTGAGCCACAGGCGCCACCCGAAGAAGTCTTAAAAAAGAGGAGAGGACAGGGGCCGTGGCACATGCCAGTGGTCCCTGCTACTGAAAAGGCTGAGGCAGAAAGATCACTTGAGCCCAGGAGTTTGAGGCTATAGTGCGCTACGGTGGCACCTGTGAATAGCCATTGTACTACAGGCTGGCCAACATATTGAGGCCTCATTTCTCTTTTTTTCTTTTTCTTTCTTTCTTTTTTTTTTTTTAGAGACGGAGTATTACTTTATCGTCCTTGGTAGAGTTCTGTAGTGTCATAGTTCACAGCAACCTCCAGCTCTTGGGCTTAGGCGATTTTCTTGCCTCAGCCTCCCGAGTAGCTGGGACTACAAGCGCCTGCCACATCGCCCAGCTATTTTTTTGTTGCAGTTTGGCTGGGGCCAGGTTTGAACCTACCACCCTCGGTATATGGAGCTGGTGCCCTATTCACTGAACCACAGGTGCCACTCTCTTTTTTTGTGTGTGTGTGAGACAGAGTCTTACTCATCGCCTTGAGTAGATTGCCATGGTGTCATAGTCATAGTTTACAGCAACCTCAAACTCTTGAGTTCAAGCAATCCTCTTGAATAGGTGGGACTATAGGCACCCACCATAACACCCAGCTAGTTTTTCTATTTTTAGTAGAGATGGGAGGGGTCTCCCTCTTGCTCAGGCTGGTCTTGAACTCCTAAGCTCAAGCAATCTACCCGCCTCGGCCTTCCAAAGTGCTAGGATTACAGGCAAGAGCCACCACACCCAGCTAGATGCCTCGTTTCTTTAAAAAAGGGTGGAGGAGAGAAACAGGTTAATCTACAGCGTTCCCTTATACTGCTCCCTCATACAAAGGAATCAAAATAGTAAGAATGAAGTCCCCTTACCTGCATAAATTTCAGACCAACAAGGTGGAATCCCTTCTGCTCAAAACGTTTGATGATCTCTCCTACAAGACCCCGCTGGACCCCATCGGGCTTGATGGCAAGGAAGGTGCGCTCACTGTTGGCCATGGTCCTGGGGATAGGCAGGTAGGGGAATAAAACAGCAATGAATCTCTTGCTACATCATTATCCTTCTCAAGCAGATTACCTGGCAAAGCTGGCTTAAATCTGTCATGTCTCCCTCTGGTAAAAACCATTCCTCCCCAGTCCTCTCATCTATTAACTAATATCCTAAAAAGGAGAAGGGTCCAAACGGAGGAGCTGTAATTTCTATCCCATTTGATTTTACAGACTTATATTAAGCATCAACTGCACGCCTGGAACCAAGATATGTATATAAAAACAAGACACTGTCTTTCTCAATGGTACACGTTTGGGAAAACAACACTGATGTGTAGTTTTACTAATATCAAAGTGACATCTGGTATAAGGCACTGTGAAATACAGTTTGGCCTCTTGCCATAGCCATGGTATTAAAACTGGAAGGGGTTCTGGAGAACATATCATTATGACCCCCTTCATTTTACAAACAAGGAAACAGGACCCAAGCAGCAGGAAGAGGACCAAAATCCGGATTTCCCAACCCAATGTATGCTATACCTCAATGTGTAACAAATATTCTGACTAGCCAATAAACAGTGGATTGTGGGAGAACTAGAGCCACTACCACATCAGGTTGGAGGGAAGCCTAGAGAGCATCATCCCTGATTTCACAGAGAAGACTGGGCCCATCACCTACCCTATCTCACAGTCTGAGAAAGGAAGGGGCCCTTTCCCTTAAAAGACAATCCCGAGTGTGGACAGCAGCACCACCTCCTGGCTCTGCCTTCCTGTACTTTAGTTAACCCCTATTACAGCCACTTAATATTGTAGTCCAATTTTCCTTTTGTGTGTCCACCTCCCCTCTGGTCTGTGGCCTGCATGCAAGCCTGGTTTACTACTGTTTCTGTCTGTAGTACCTAGTCACAAAGTCTACCAGTCAGTAAGAGAAAAAAAAAAAAAAGGCTTAAATGATAATCACCTTGCTTGTCCGAGAAAAAAGTGACAAAGCCAAAAGACTGGCTGGAGAATCCCCGACGAAGCGCAGGGAAACCAAGAATTCTCCAGGACAAAATGGGACTAAAGCGCCAGTAATAGCCCTTGGAAATGCCCCTCCCCACCGATCCCTCAGACACCTGTCATTCATTCAGCATGCACTTGCTGAGGCTACTCTGTGCCTTGCGCTGTACTCAACATCGTCGCGGTCTCATGGGAAAGGCAGGCACTGACAAAGGCGAGTCCACGTGGCGTGGGACGTGTGCTGACAGGTCTGCACCTGCCGACAGGCACACCCCAGCCCTTCTCTCATTCGATCCCCCTCGCCATTCGATTCCCCATTCGATCCCCTTCGTCATCTCTCAGAGCCGAACTCACCTCTTCATTAAGCCTCCCCGCCTCTCCTTGTCCCCTTACCTGTACTCCTTTCCCTTTCCTCTCAGGATCCTGAACCCCTCTCACCCCCTCACCTGCTTGGGTTTCAACTGCCGCCGCCGCTCAAACCAGAAAAGCTCCCCGGCCCCACGTGGTTCGCAGTACCCGCTAGCACGGAACACTTCTGCGCAGATCCGCTGCCGGAGAGCCCATTTTGCGCAACACCGCTCGCCCCTGCTTCCTCCTTACGGGTAGGGAGTCATTCTAGGGAGCAAACTTCTGATGTTTAGCTTCCGGCATTGTTTTTTTTTTTTTCTTCAGGCTCTTCCGGCGCGGTGCTCCCTTTTTTCCCGCCCCCCCTGAGATAATGTGACTCACTTTTCCTCGTCGCGAGCGAATTGGCTTCCCGACAGGTGGCGCTCACATGTTGCACGAACTCCAAGCTAGCGTGGGACCCAGAAGTCGGTTTGTCGCTCGGGTTTTGTTGATTCGGTCCTAGCTTCTCGAGCGCTCCTTTAGTTAATGAATACCTACTATGTGCCAGGTGCTATTCTAGGTCCCGGGAAAATGCTAATATGCTCTCTGGGAGCTTCTGGTAGGGTTGGGAGTAGAAGCAAGCAAGAAACACAATTAATCTGTAATATATCACATTATGTTAAGTGTTGTGAAGAAAAAGCAGAGGAGGGGAAATAAGATTGGTCAGGGGAATCTTTCTGAGGAAGTGAAAATAGCCCTTCATGGAGTGAGGAGGCGAACGGGTGGTTATCTGAGAGCCAAGTGGTACCGTGGGCACAAAGTGGTAGAAAATACAGTTGAAGGGGGACCAGATTATATTGTGGTGGGACGCCAATAAGAGATTTTGAACAAGGCATAAGATCATCTGATATGTGGGTTGTTTTTTTTTTTTTAATTATTCTGACTGCTGTATGGGGAATAGATGGGGGGGGAAGTATGAAAGTGGAATCAGGAGCCTTTTCTACAAGCGATGCTGGAGCAGTTGGACAAATACAGACCAAAAAATGAACCTCACACCTTTTTTTGTTTTGAGACAGAGTCTTACTCTGTCTCGCTGGGTAGAGTGCTGTGGTGACACAGCTCACAGCAACCTCAAAGCTCAGGCTCAAGCCATCCTCCTGCCTCCCCTCCTGAGTAGCTGGGACTACAGGGGCCCACCACAACGCCGGGCTATTTTTAGTAGAGTCGGGGTCTTGCTCTTCCTCAGACTAGTTTTGAACTCTTGAGTTCAAGCAATCCACCCACCTCTGCCTCCCAGAGGGCTAGGATTACAGGTGTGAGCCACTGCGCCCAGCCTTCCCGCCTTGTATGTACAAAATTCACTCAAAATGAATCATTGATTTAAATGTAAAACGATCACAAGGGAGAAAGGTAGTAAAAATATGCTTAGGACATAGTACTAGACAGCAAAAGTACAATCTATAAAAGAAAAAAGTTGATAAATTGAACCTTATTGAAATTACCAACTTTTACTCTGTAAAAGACCCTTTGAAGGGTATGAAAAAATAAGCTAAAATGGAAGAGAATGTTTGCAGACCACATATCCAACAAAAAATATTCATACTCCTTCCCCCCACACTACCGTGCTTGAGTAGTTGTGAAAAAAAATTTAAATAAATAAATAGCTGGAGTGTGGTGGCTTTAGGAGGCTGAGGTGGGTAGATTGCTTGAGGTCAGGAGTTTGAGACCAGCCTGACCAAGAGCAAGACTCCCTCTCTACTAAAAGTAGAAAAACTAGCCCAGCCTTTTGGTGGACACCTGTAGTCCCAGCTGCTCTGGAAGGAGAGGCAAAAGCCCAAGAGTTTGAAGTTGCCATGAGCTGTGATGTCACAGCACTCTCCCTAGAACAATAGAGTGACACTCTGTCTTAAAAGCTAAATAAATAATAAAATAAAGAACGAAGTAAATAAATAATAGAATATATGGGGCGGCGCCTGTGGCTTAAAGGAGTAGGGCGCCAGCCCCATATGCTGGAGGTGGCGGGTTCAAACCCAGCCCTGGCCAAAAACTGCAAAAAAAAAAAAATAATAATAATAATAATAATAGAACATATGAAGAACTCTCAAAACTCAACAGTTTAAAAAACCCAATTTAAAAAATGGGCAAAAGACAAGAACAGACATTTCACTGATGAGGATATACAGATGACAAGAAAGCACATGAAAAGATGTTCAACACTATTAGTCATTAGGGAAATGCAAATTAAAACCACAATAACTTATGTCTGTAATCCTAGCACTCTGGAAAGCCAAGGTAGAAGGATTGCTTTAAACTCAGGAGTTGAGAGACTAGTCTAAGCAAGACCCCAAACCCCATCTCTACCAAAAGTAGAAAAATTAGTAGGGCACAGTGGCTGTCCCTGTGGTCCTAGCTACTGGGAGGGCTAAAGCAGGAGCATCACTTGAGCCCAGGAGTTTGAGATAGCTGGGAGCTATGATGACACCATTACACTCTAACCTGGGCAATAGAATGAGACTCTGTCTTTTAAAAAACTACACACAAGGGTAGCACTTATAGCTCAAAGGAGTAGGGCGCCAGCCCCATATGCCAGAGGTGGCAGGTTCAAACCCACCCCTGGCTAAAAACTGAAAAGAAAAAAAAAACTACACACAATGAGATATTAATTGTTAATGAGTTTACAGATCTATCACATCTATCCAAATGTTAAAATCCATTCCTCTACTTGTATGTAATACCTTTTACCCACTTCTAGTGCTTTCAAAAGAACTCTGTATATTTTAAAATTTAAAAAAAGTATGTTGAGCCATTAAAAAAAAAGAAGAAAATTAGTGATATACCAAATGCTGTCCAGGAGGTAAAGAAACTGGATCCATGTTACTGGAGGGGAATGTAAAATTGTACAGCCATTCTAGACAAGTTTGACAGTTTCTTGTAAAACTAAGCGTGTGCTTCTCATATGACCCAGCAGTTGTACTCTTGGGCATTTGTCCAACAGATAGGAAAACTGATGTTCTGTTCACACAGGAACTTATGCACAAATATTCATAGCAGCTTTATTTATAATGACTAAAAACTGCAAACAACCCAAATGTCTTTCATCAAGTGGATAGTTAAACAGACTATGGTATATCCATATCGTGGAGCATGACTCAATATAAGAAAAATGAACAAACTATTAATACTGCACAACTTGGACAGATTTCAAGAAAATTGTGCTAACTGAAAAAAAAGCCAGTTGTGAAAAATTATATACTGTATTATTGCATTTATATGATATTCTTGAAAGAACAAAATTATAGAGACAGAGATCAGACTAATGGTTTCCAAGAGATGGGGAGAGACATGAGTATGTTCATAAAGATGTAGCACAAAGGAATCTTGTTAGTCCAACAGTTCAGTTCTGTATCTTGGGTTTGTTTGTGGGTTGTTTTGTTTGGTGGGGGGGGGGATTGTGTTGTTTTTTTTCTTTTTGAGATGGAGTCTCACTTTGTTGGGCAGAGTGCTATGGTGTCATAGCTCACAGAAACCTCAAACTCTTGGGCTCAAGCAACCCTCTTGCCTCAGCCTCCCAAGTAGCCAGGCCTACAGGCACCTGCCACAGCGCCTGGCTTTTTTTTATAGAGACAGGTACTCACTTTTGCTCAGGCTGGTCTCAGAACTCCTGAGTTCAAGCAATCCACCTATCTCAGCCTCCCAAAGTTCTAGGGTTATAGGCATGAGCCACTGCACCTAGTAATTTCCCGATTTTAATAGGGACACTAGGCAAAGGATACACCAGATGTCTTCCTTCATACATACACATTTATCTTTTACAACTTCCTATGAATTATTCAACTTTTTTTTTTGAGACAGAGTATTATATTACTTTGTCACCCTTGGTAGAGTGCCGTAATTTAAAAAAACTGAGTCACAGCAGACTCAAACTCATGGGTTGAAGCAATTCTCTTTTTTTTTTTTTGTTTTTGAGACAGAGCCTCAAGCTGTGCCCCTGGGTAGAGTGCCATGGCTTCACTGCTCACAGCAACCTCCAACTCCTGGGCTCAAGCGAGTCTCCTGCCTCAGCCTCCCAAGTAGCTGGGACCACAGGCGCCCACCACAACGCCTGGCTATTTTTTGGTTGCAGCCATTATTGTTGTTTGGCAGGTCCGGGCTGGATTGGAACCTGCCACCTTTGGTGTATGTGGCTGGCGCCTTAGCCGCTTAAGCCACAGGCGCCAAGCCTGAAGCAATTCTCCTGCCTCAGCCTCCCAAGTAGCTGGGACAATAGGCACCCGCCACAACACTCAACTATTTTTTTAGAGATGGGACCTTGATCTTGCTCAGTCTGGTCTTGAACTTCTGACCTCAGGTGATCCACCCATCGCAGTCTCCTAAAGTGCTAGGATTACAGGTATGAGCCACTGTCCCCAGCAACTTTTTTTTTTTGAGACAGAGTTTCACTTTGTCGCCCTCAGTAGAGAGCCATGGTGTCACTGCTCACAGCAACTTCCAACTCTTGGGCTTAAGCGATTTTCTTGCCTCAGCCTACCAAGTAGCTGGGACTACAGGTGCCCGCCACAACACTCAGCTATTTTTTGTTGTAATTCTCATTGCTGTTTTAGCTGGCCAGGGCCGGGTTCAAACCTGCCACCCTTGGTATATGGGGCCTGCGCCCTACCTACTGAGCCACGGGTGCCGCCCCACCCAGCAACTTTTTAAAAAATTTAAAAAGAACTTTATACAGTGGCAGTATTGTAGGCAATGTATGGCAACATTGTAGTATTTTATAAACAAGGTTTATCCAAGATGTGATTATTATTTTTTTCTTTTTTTAAATCACAAAGTCTACGACTACAAAGTGTGGTTATTATTAATTGAAAACTTTTCCAATACTGCACTGTAATGACTTGCAATATAGTCCGCATTAGCAATTTTTTTTTTTTTAAAGATGGAGTCCCATTGTGTTGCCCTGGGCTAGATTGCCCTGGCATCAGCTGACCTCACAGCAACCTCAAACTCCTAGGTTTAAGCAATCCTTCTGCCTCAGTCTCTAGAGTAGCTAAGGCTACAGGCACACATCACAATGACCATTTTTCTTTTCTAATATTTAGAGATGGGGTCTAGCTCTTTTTCACACTGGTCTCAAACTCCGGAGCTCA